ATATATATATATATATATATATATCATGATTAACACACTATAAGCATTGATTTTGTTGAAAAATGAATGTTAATAATGAATGACAACTATGGTAGAATATAATTCATCAACATGTCAAAATCATGTGAGATGGAATGAAACAAGACAAACAAACAAATAAATAAATAAATAAAAGTAAAGTAACAACCCCGATAGTTTGTAGTGAAAATCACAAATAATCTCAAATGAATATTTTGTGAAATTTTGAATTCCATGTATTATTTATTATTATAATAAATATTTTTAATTTTTAATTTTGGAATTATTTAAAAAATAAATTCATTTTGTGTATATATATATATATATATATATATATATATATATATAATCTTATATTAATTTGGCTATCTTTTTATCATTTAAACTGTGATATTTTAAAATTAAGTTAAATAATCAGATAAAAAATGGCCAAATTCATTTCACACCTTTTTTTTAATTGATTTTATTTTGTCCACTCAATAATTGGCCATAGTATGAGGTGGTCCTTGTAGCAAGATCACATCCAATGCTCAAAAAGTCTTGCCTCATCTTAAAGACATTTATGTGCTAAAATAACAAACAATTACAACAAAGAAATCTCAAGTTTGGGATGTTGATAATCCATGTAGATCTTTCAATTTGACAATCTAATATTCTAATGACAAGACTTGATTGCAAAAAAAAAAAAAAAAAAAAAAAAAAACTACTATTGGATTTTTTCTTCTTTTTTCTAATTATAAATATCTTAAGGGTTAGCTTCTTATTAAAAGAAACTTTAATAATCTTTTTTATACAATATAATCTTTGATTTTTTGTTTGCATATTAATATTAATTTATATAAATATTTTTGAAGAAACCCATGTGCCTTTACAATTACGTTTTTTTAGATTAGACAACAGCTTTTGAATTGATTTGTTAATTTCATACTTTCTCTAAATAGTTCTTTTATTCAAATGAATTAGGTTTAGTGTTCAATCATTTGCTTAGATAGTGTACATAACTAGAATATGTTGTGATAATAAAATTGTTTATTTTATTTTCTTAAAATAAAAAATACACTACATTTCATTGTAGATACTTCATTGTCATAAACTATTTTACAAATGGTAAGAAAAACATTAAAAATCATTTTTTGAAAAATAATTGTTAGTTGTTCTGAACATTTTACTATACTATGGTATTATTGTAAATTTACAAATTTATACCAAAAAAATTTAGAAAGATATTTTGGATTATTTTTTATTATAAACTTTTAAATAATTGATTAAATGATTTCACTTAATAGATGAACTTTTTCACATCTTGAAAACCTCAACAAGAACCAAATATCAAAATATGTATACCTATATATATATTTATATTTTTGAATGATAAAAATCATATGATACATTTAATAAAATTTTAAAGAAAATTAAAAATATAATCATAAATAATTAAAGCAGTGTAGTTACGGTTAATTTATTAAAATTAATCCTTGACATGTTTTAAATTCTTCATGTAACAGTTAAGTTGTATAACTATATTTTTAGAGCATTTAATTTTTTTTTAAAATAAAATAGAAATATTAAATACTTGTATATATTACTTTTACCATGAACTTTTTGTTTAAACATAAGATATTATATTTTGAAGAATCTCAAGTATTGAATTTTGCTAGAAATGAATCCAGATTATTATATATATATATATATATATATATATGTGTGTGTGTGTGTGTGTGTGTGTGTGTGTATTAAAAAAATACAGTTTTTTCTTCCAAAAAGAATAAAATCCAAGAAGCATATGTCCACTTGGAAATTTTATTATAAACATGATAATCAAATTCTTGAGTCAAATAAACATGTAGTTGTATTTTTGCTACAAAACTCCTATGTTTATTGAATATGCCATGAATATGCGACCTTTAGTATACTAGGAATTTCTACATTAGCATTGATTGATTTATTTATTTATTTATTTTTGAGACAATGTGAATTTATATGAGGATAATCTAACCCATCCAATATAATTTCATGCTTCCAAGGAGAAATATTATTCTCATTTGCTTTGAATGTAAAATGATAATGTTAACTATAGCACTAGTTCTAAACCGTTAATAGTATTAGTTATATACATATATTAATAGAAAAAATATAGCTTAAATTATAAAACTAAGGATGAAAAGAAATTATTAAGAATGAAAAGTTAAAATTAACAGATGAACAAAACTAAATTGGGTTGTTTTGAGTACAAAGAAATTAGAAACTGAAGACTATATAATAATAGGGATGTTGAAAAGATTGAGAATGGTGTTAGTCTTGACTTATTATCTGCAAGTTGTAATTAATTATTTTAATTAAGACTGCTTCCTCAGATAGACTATAATCATAATTTGGTATTTTTAAATGCTAATTTCTTGGTTGTGAATGGATATACTGTCTAAGCCACTTTATGCCAAGTTTGTGGATGTTAAAATTTTTTTCCTGCATAATTAAATATTACCAGTAGTACATAAATATATAATTTATACAAAAAATAAAATAATTATTTTATTTAATATTTTTATATAATTAGAATTAAAATTTTGAGTCGAACATCAATTAGTAGATATTCTCTTTTTTAGTAAATAAGCGTATTCAAAATCTATTTAGAAATTCAAATCTAGATTTGTATGACATTCTAACTTGGTTTTGTGTTAACAAGAATAATATTAACTTGTCTTTACATACATGAACTTTATTTTTCTGGTATTGAAATAAAATTCAACCAACTTGAGGTTTTTTTTAATATATTTACCAATTATAAATTTTATATCTTTACATGTCTCTTTGGTCTCACTTGAACTTAGTAAAACAATATATATATATATATATATATATAAATATATATATGTACAGTTTATTCATCTGTGGTCTTATGAAAAATCAATGCATTTCAACTCAAATGGTAAATTTTATTATTTATTAATAGGTTTTGCTTCATATTGTATTAATCATTTATAATGTTTTAATTTTTTGCATTTAATTGATACAAGAACTCAAAGTGCTCAACAACCAATATTTGAATATGTGAAAGTCTAAATCATTTTTTGTATGTGTTTTTAAATATCAAACTTCTTTCATTTCCGGGTCAGTTTTTTAGGGTAAATATCCTTTTTGACACTTAAATCACATGCATTTTCAGGCACCTTGATTGTATTTATATAATTAAATAACAACAATAAATAATAATAAAAAAAAACAAAAAAATCTAGTCACGTTGAGCAATTGAAGAAAAATAAAATAAAAGGGCTCTACATTTTGGATAATAGTCGTTGTAGTGTTTAAAAAAGGAACCAAATTGTATTAATTTTCTTAGAAGACATGTTTGTTGGGTGTTGTAAATCAAAATGCAAGAATGATATTTAGTGTGATAACTTGCAATGCATATTAAAGAGTGGATGTGGCTCCTACATTAATACTAGGAATCTACATTTGTTTGTAGTTATCAATTGTTAATGGTGGTTTTTAAGATGTTTATAATAATAGTTGGAACCAAAAAAATAATGACATTGACATTTCTATTTTTCCAATGGTGCCATGTTGTAACATATGATGCAATAACGTGGAAAAAGTTTCTTTGTTAAAGTCTTTTGAATATATATATATATATACACACACAATTTAAGATAAAAATATGGAACAAAAAAACTGTTTATTTATTATTTATTTATTTATTTATCAATGAAAACAGTGTGAGTTGTTTTGAATCTTTTATTACACAAAAGTGTACATTTAAACATTTAGATAGGAAGAATGATCTGTATCACAATATCATCACAATATTCTGTATTACCTGGTTTAGGTTTGATTCAGATTTCTTAATAAGGTGTTTTATTTGATTTTATTTGAAGTCCATGTAAATCTGCATGTTTGATTCCCAATTATTAAGTTTATTAAAACAAACCAATACATAATTGAAGTTAAATAGTCAAATGTTAATACACATAATTAAGTAAAAAAATAAAATGAAAGACACAAATTACAAATTTAAGTATGGAGCAGACAATACTAAGTTGTTCTTATTTTGATGTCTCCTTTGATTAAAACACACTTATTTATTTTTATCTTATTGCAAATTTCATTTAAAATGATTCATACTAATCATGAATTAAAACATTTATTGAATTTACCACGAATTTAACTACAATATCTTCAACAGATTTCTAGAAATAACCCAAATATGTACCCCTTTTAGAAAATATAAATGAAGTTGCATTCTTTCTTCCAACTTTTTCAAACTCTTGTACATAGTAAGAAAAAAGAAAAAGAAAAGATGAAAAAGAAAAGATGAGAAAAAGAAAAAGAAAAAGAAAAGATGAGAAAGAGAAAGAGAAAAAGAAAAGATGAAAAAGAAAAGATGAGAAAGAGAAAGAGAAAAAGAAAAAGAAAAAGAAAAGATGAGAAAGAGAAAGAGAAAAAGAAAAGATGAAAAAGAAAAGATGAGAAAGAGAAAGAGAAAAAGAAAAGATGAAAATGAGAAAGAGAAAGAGAAAAAGAAAAGATGAAAAAGAAAAGATGAGAAAGATAAAGAGAAAAAGAAAACCCACCTTACTTTTCCCTCAAGCTAAACTCCTCCCCCGTACTTGTTCCACGTCAGCAATTCAGTTGCAAGTACAAGACGGACGAAGCGCGACGGACGACGACGACGACGACGACGAACTTCTTTATTTTTTCTGTTTACGGGCAGCTCTGGGAGCCCGAAAGCGACGCCGGATGACGACGAATGAATGAATACAGGGACGAGCGGATGGACGAACACGAGATAAACGGATGATAAAGAAAAGGGAAGCACAGACTAACAGAGGACACGTGGAGACATGATTGGGGGATGGATGGATGGGCGTGGGGTGAGGGATGGATGAGGGGGGTGGAGTCGGAGGCCCCCCGCATCGTTCCCAACGCCCGGACACGAACCACGGGAGACTCCGCCCCCTCCATCATCGCCATCGCCATCGCATCGCATCACAGCCCCACCTCTCTACCACTTCCACTCCCTCCTCTTGCTCCTCTTCCATTTTTCTCTCTCTCTCTCTCTCTCTCACTCGTATTCGACCACCGCAGCCATCACCATCGTTGGGACGGAACGAACGATCCAGCAGCACTGCAGAGCCTTCACTCTCGCCGAGCGAGCGGGCCTGCCTGCGGTAGAGCCCCCATTCCCACGCCCGCGCCTCCTGCCTGCCTCTTTCGCTTCCCCTGCTTCTCCCCCCCCACCCCCCCCTGCCTGGGTGGGCACTTTGTTTTGTTTTGTTTTGTTTTGTTTTTCTTTGCTGCTTCTGCTGGACAGGTGAGAAGACATCGCTTCAGTTGTACTGTGCTCGTTAGCGCTTGTCGCAAGCGGGGGAATATAAGGGGATTGGTCGATCGGGTGAACCAACCAACCGGGCGAGTGCATGAACCAGCCATCCAACCAAGCTCACGACCTTTATACCTCCATTACTGTGTTTCTAGTGGCTGGCTGTCACGCTTTTTGGTCGAGAGGGATTTACGAGAAAGTGGAGGTGGAGGATGCGAGTAGAGGTGTAATAGCCTTGTGTTTTTCTTTTTTTTTCTTTTTTTTGGGTGTGTGTGTGGCTTGGTGATTGAGCCACGAGCGGATTGATTTCGACGCTGTTGCAGCTGGTGGAGAGGTAATGCTGTTGCTGGCTGCGTCGGGGCGGTGACAGGGAGTGGGAGGTTAAGGGAGTCTGTGTTGAGCAGCAGGAGGAGCGAGGAGGAGCTCCTTGTCTATCTGGTGGTGAGGGAGAGGGTTTAGGGTTTGGTTGATGGAGCGATGTATGGAGGCAGTGAAGGAGTGAGCGGAGTTGCGATTAGGTTTGGAGTTGTGGTATTACGAGAGTGAAGTAAAGGAGGTTAGGTGGTCGTTGACGTGGTATTGTCGAACTGAAAGTGTGTGTGCGCTGCAATACAGGCTGTGAGTGTGGATGCGGATGAGCTCAGCGTCTGTAGATGTTCTGTGGTTGATTTGTGCCTGGAGATGGAATGTGTGTGGAATGGAAGTTGCTGCCTCCGGTGTTGCTCTGGGATCGAAGTTATGATAGGAGGATGATGATGATGAGGGGGAAGTGGTGGTTGCGGTGTTGTATCGATAGTTTAGAAACTAGAAGCTGCAAAGTGTGGCAGAATGAACTTGTTTTCAGATTTGTGTAGATTTGTAGATTGCATTGTGCGGAACCAATTTCTTCTTCTGTCGGCTGGCATTGTGCTTTAGGAGCGAGCCAAGCTTATCGATGTTTTAAAATTGTAACGATAGTGATTCTGATGCGTATCCCTTCCATGTACACCCCGATTGAGAGCAGAATCGAATCTCATCCTGAGAGAGAGAGAGAGAGAGAGAGAGAGAGCTTCTAAAGCATTAACTCTGTCTTGATATGCTGTCCACTCATTTGAGTTTTTTATTGTAAAATGAGCGTGCTTTCAGTCACCGCCAGGTTTCACTCTTTCGGAATATTTTGCGGAGTGCTTCTTTGTTGTTTACTAGTGGGCATAATCGGAACTCCCGAAGTTTATTTGCTGAATGTGATGATTTTAAAGTTATGGTTTTAGCGTTCCTTTAAAATCATTTGAACCCGCGCGCTCGCTTCTCCCTTGTCGATGCATGTCCTTGTTGTTGGCCTTTAGCTTGGCTCATATATTGAACTAACGCTTGTTAATCATTCCCTTTTTGCAGATATCAAGTCTGAGTTGTTTTATGCAAGTTTGAAGGATGGCATTTTCAGCGGCTGCCTCGCCCCTGTGTACTTGGTTAATAGCTGCCTGTGTATCTAATTCTGTAGCAGGCCTCTCTGGTGTTGATGCCCCTGTAAGCTCAGGGCCTCTGGGTAGAAGGCTTAAAAGGAGAATTGCACGCTCGAAGCAATTGGCTGCAGAAAGCTGGTTGAGCATTGGCGTTGCAGCAGCATCTCGTTCGAGCCAAAGTCTAGTAGCATTTTGTGAATCTGGTCTTTCAGAATTAGGAACGTTTTGTGGGCTTCAAGGATGCAAGGAGTATAATAACATGAGGCCCGAGTCCCTGTTCGGGGATGGCTTTTTTGGGGACTGTTTGGGAGGTTCAAAAGGTCCCGTTTCGAAGTCCGTTAGAGCTGGCCGGAGGTTTAGAAGAGCTGCAGCAGGTAAGACTGGCTTGTTGCAAGTTATTCCATCCACGCAGCACTCTTTTCAGGTTTTGAATTTTGCATGAAGTTCATGTTTCTAGTGATAAGGCCATAATTGGAGATTGGAACTCCTCCTAGTACCTTTAAAATGAACTTTTATTATTATTATTATTTAAAGTGGTAATAATAAATTCTATGGAGGATCATAGCACCTGCACTCTCGAACAGGCTGATTCATATTGCTACTGGAGCTAGATAGTACTTCATGATGTGATCGTTACTCGTTGTATTAGGTGAGGAGGACGTCGTGAAATTCTGCTGGTATTACTCGAGAGTACTCTTGAGTACATAACGTTACTGAATGTATGGAAAGTGTTGGAGGATCAATAGGATCTGCTTAGAATTTTTCGTGTATGTACTGCAGTTGTTCTATTATTGTTTTGTACCTTGGTTGGACTGCCGGATCGACATGCAACGAGGTCCGACGTCGTCGGGTGAAGCCATTTTAGACTCAGGTGGCGAAATTTAGTTTCTGTGCTGAAAGTACGCTTGGTGCTAATTGTCCTGAATTACAGGAAAGGCATCGGCTGTCACAGCCCAACCAGCGAAGGAGTCAGAGCAGAAGAAAAACAAAAAAACTGCAACAAAGAAAAGAAGAGTTGTAGTGACTGGTATGGGTTTGGTATCTTGTCACGGTCATGAACCGACTCAATTCTATGAGAATTTATTGGCGGGGAAAAGTGGAATCACTGAGATAGAGAGATTTGACTGCAAAGAATTTCCAACAGTAAGTCGCGCATTGTGTTCTGTTGTTTCCTTAGACTTCCAGCTGTGCTTAGTAAAACGCTGCTGATCTTAATATTATTTTCCTCATTTTTACTTTCATGCAGCTCCAGCTGAATATATTTAGCGTGCACTGAGTGTATGGGTAAGTAGAAAGCCAATGTGATTTTTTTTCCATAAATCTTTCAGCTTTGCAAACATCTGCGCGTACCGCCTGAATGCTTTGGTTTTAGCGTAGAGGAAAAGTACACGTAAGCAACTCTTTCTGGAAAGATTATGCTGGCTGAATGCTTACACCTATTGCCGAGTGCTGATTTTGGATTATGTGTGGTGGCAGAGGTTTGCAGGAGAAATTAAGTCATTTTCGACGGAGGGCTGGGTGGCTGGAAAATTCGCAAGACGCATGGACAGGTTCATGCTGTACCTTCTAACAGCAGGAAAAAAAGCCGTAAAGGACGCTGGGATTACAGAAGATGTCATGAAAGACTTGGACAAGTCAAAATGTGGTGTCCTCATTGGTTCTGCAATGGGAGGAATGCAGGTGCGTGTGTTGCAAAGACTCAACTCACCTTTCTATACAGTATTCTACCACGATTTGAACTCCTGTATAGTGAAGGTGTATTAGGATTGTTTACTGTAAAAGGCTTAGGTTGGAGCAAGGTGTGATCGTATTTTGGTATTGCGAGTTCTTTATATAGGATTATCTCTTAATGCAAGTTGAAGGGATAGAAACATACCTGTCCAGTCATGTAGCAATAGTCGCTTGTATGGGCGTCCAGGCTTGATGCACATCGGATCTCTGCTTTAGGACCTATTGTTGTCGATGTGTACTTGTAGACAGAATGAGTTTGGGCACTCAATCAACAAGGTCTTTCAGGTCTTCCTCATGGATGATTTGGCTGAAGGTGCAGTGTTGGTTTGACAGGTATTTAATGATGCCATTGAGGCATTAAGGGTTTCCTACCGAAAGATGAACCCATTTTGCGTTCCTTTCGCAACCACCAACATGGGTTCAGCCATGCTAGCCATGGATTTGGTATGCTTGTTTTAATCACGACGTAATGAGATGTTCTCACTTGTATAGAAAGTTTACTGTTGTTTAATTTTTTTGATATTATGTTTGTGCCTCTAGTAAATCTAACAAGCATTTATTCCTTTGTTTATTTTTTTACAGGGGTGGATGGGACCCAATTATTCTATATCCACAGCTTGTGCCACCAGCAATTTTTGTATACTTAGTGCCGCAAATCACATTATCAGGGGTGAAGCCGTAAGTTGCTAAACCTACCTCTGGAACTGAAGAGTGATTCGATTGTTCTATTATTTTTTTCATGGATTATTAGTTGAAGGTATGTCATCAAGTAATTCTCCCCTTCTTTTGAAGTGGTATTCTTATCAACTGTTGTTTGAAAAATTGTTGATGAAAATTTCAATAATGGCTATTCGACGAGCCCCGCTTCAAGTGAACATCTTTCGAACATTCGAAGTCGAATCCTCACTTTACTCATTCATGTGTAGGACCTAATGTTGTCAGGAGGCTCGGACGCTGCCATCATCCCTATTGGTTAGTTTCCGGATCTTCTTTTCTTTCCAGATCTGGGTAGGATTTAGCATTATCTTCCTGAGAAGGGCGGGACATGCCTTTTAGTCGTATCTGTAGGTTTCAAACGAAAATAAGCTCTCTGTTGAATGGAAGTCTGTGTATGAGATCCTGTCTTGTGACTGCAATCGGAACATTCTTAAATCAATGTCATTTGCTGGATAGGCTCAACACTAATGTTTAAAGTTTGAAGATGTGGAAGATGCCCATCCCTGGAAGATTTATGTCTCGCGTGATACTGATGTCAACGCAAATTTTCTTAAGATATTTTCAACTAGATGACAACGTAATTTACCTGAGCTTCTTTTCGCCTTGATCTATTGTCAGCCATTCGTTTCTTACATGTAATTCGCCGGCACACAGGTCTTGGAGGATTCGCTGCTTGCAGAGCCCTTTCTCAGCGCAACGATGACCCAGCCAAAGCGTCACGTCCTTGGGACCAGGTCTGGTTTGGCTTCCTTGTCCCTTTTGGATATTGTGCCCTTGTCAAGTATGCTAGTGTAAAGATTCATAGTTATATTTAACAGTATTATTATACTTATTATAATGTAGGTCCTACTAATTTTCACTTATGTTTCTTATACAGAATCGGGATGGGTTCGTCATGGGAGAGGGAGCAGGTGTTCTCTTGCTAGAAGAGTTAGAGCATGCCAAGGTTTGTATTTTTTATCCTCGTAAAGCAGTTGATGATGTGTTTTTATCAGAAGAGATTTCTTAACCTCTGTGGGTTTGTTGCTTCACACTAACGATTTTTTTTTCTTCTTTTTTTTTTCCTTTTCTTCTCTACATCTGTATTCCCCCCGACAATACATTTGAAGAAGTTAATTTGTGAAATAATACGTGTCGGCTTTTTACAGGCACGGGGAGCAGAGATATATGCGGAGTTTCTTGGAGGTAGCTTCACATGTGATGCTTATCACATGACAGAGCCTCACCCAGAAGGTATGATGTAACTTGCTCGAACCACGGGCTCAAAGAATAGATTTTTCCTTGTCCTCTGCAAACCAGATATTTTTATTGCTTTGATGGCCATTTCTGGTTCGTTAATGACTAGATCTGAGTTGCGTAGATTATCATTGCTAGCCGGTTTAATGCACTATGTTAGACATTTTGCAGTTATGACTTTTTCTGGTTGTGAAGCGTGATCCCTTTCTAGTGCGTGACAGGTGCTGGTGTGCTACTTTGCATAGAGAAGGCCTTGGCTCAGTCAGGAGTAAACAAGGCTGATGTCAACTATGTAAATGCTCATGCAACCTCAACAAAAGCTGGCGATCTGCAAGAGTACAAGGCTCTCATGAAGGTTTTTGGTGGAAATCCAGAGGTAAGGTAGTTCTTTGTCTTCTGACTGTTGTCTTGTCATCCTCATTTCTTCCCGGTCTACTGCGTTTGGTCTTGGTTCTAAATAGTGTAATCTTTGCTGTTGATCCATCTACATTACAAGGCTATTTCTGACGCGACTTGAAGTGTGTTGCGGTTGCAGCTTAAAGTAAATTCAACCAAGTCTATGGTGGGTCATTTGCTGGGTGCCGCTGGTGCCGTTGAAGCTATTGCAACAATCCAGGTGAGTTCTTGCATTGCTTGAAGCAATTATTAACTGAGCATATCTGTATCTGAAAATTCCTGGTCCTTCGCTACATTACCTGTTTCAAGAAAGCCAGTATGTCGTGGATATATTGCTACAAGTAAATGAGTTTTTGTTGTGGTATTTTAACATTTTGAACTTGGTGCCATGTATCTTGTAATCTGTGGGGATTATTTATAGTTTACTGAGTTTGTGTGCTTCTCGTTGATGGTTTGGTACTGTATGTGTAAAATAAGGAGCATCAAACACGTGGATTTCAAATGTATGAGCATTTCTGAATATATGTACGTATACTCTGTTCTGCTCTGACGGACAGTAATAATCATGATGCAGGCAATCAGAACTGGTTGGGTGCACCCTACAATCAACCTCGAGAACCCAGAGAGTGAAGTGGTAAGAGCTTCTTTATTACGGTTCTGAGGGTATTTTTTAGAATAATCTGCTGGTACTTGTGTTGCTATGGTTGGTATTTCTGCAATATTAGAGATCACTAATTAAGAGTGTTTTCAGCCTTATCAACCAAACCAGTTGATACTGTGCTAGAATATGGGAAGAATATGTCATGTATTCGCTCCTCCTAGATTGCATCGATTATTTGATATCGCTCGACATTGAACTTGTTTGCTGAAGCATTCACTTGACATTTGATATTTTAATGAACTACTTCCGTGCTGAGATTGTCGGTACATGGAAAGAATCATTGTTGTTCTCTAAGAGTCCCCTCAGATTGTTAGTTTGATTGGATTCTGAATCGTCTTTGCTATACGTTGAAATGGTCTTTCAGGATTTGAACGTGATTGTGGGAGGAGAGAAGCAGGAACTGGACATCAAGGTTGCTCTTTCGAACTCCTTCGGCTTTGGGGGTCAGAATTCATCCGTGCTATTCGCCCCTTACGTGGAAGCTAATGAAGAGTGACGCAACACGCACTTCTGGATGCACTTCCTCTCTTCCCAGACTGTACAAGTGTTTTGGCTTTGATCTCACTTGATGCAAGGGTGGCGTACTAGCACTATTGCCAATGCCAGAGATTGGTCTTGCCATATAGCCTGCCTCGAAATGTAGTGCATCAATATTGCGAGCTTTTTCCTTCGTTTCACTGCTCGCTGAAATGAAAAAAAAATGTACAGTTCCGTAATTCTTTTTCCTCTACTTGTGGGTCTCTCCTGGGTCCTGTCGAATTTGTTGCTGGCTTTTCTCCATGCATCGGTCCTATATATGCTAATGTCAGGCCTGAGGTCTGTTTTTTCATGAAGGATTGTACTCTGGGAAATTCTCAGGGAGTCTTCCTAGTTAAACATTATGGCGACAGAGAACAAATGTTGCTGAAGCTGTTGGACTACCGACAACCTCTCTGTTTAATCACTTTCATAATCATCCTTAATTCTGATCAGGCTAGACGGTGGTCAGTTTTAAATCTTTAACTTCGAAATCTCTGAAGAACATGCACCATTGAAAAAAATATTTATTGGAAGATTGGAACGCATGCATCTATTGAAAAAATCTCACATTAAGACACCTCTAATTGCATACTAAATATTTTCACAAAAATAAAAAATAAAATGAAATCTAAAATCTAAGAATCAAGGTCAGGAAGTAATTTTTTACATTGATATAACACAACCTTATTATTATTATTATTATTATTCTTAGCAGTAGTATTTCCCACATATACACCCACTTTATAAAATTGAACAATGTAAACATGGTTGTATATCAGAAGTTACTGTAGCACGTAATATGTTTATGCTTACTTGCGACAGCTCAACTGAAAACATTTTTATATAGATACTTTTGAAGTTGTGTGAAATTTTATTCTTATAGGGTCCATGGTTTGTCGAGAATTTAAGGATTTCCATGAGGGATTGGCTGGCACATTATCAAACTTGAACTCTACAATTAGAGTTGTAGGTAGCAGGGCGTTTATTTTTCTCACATCAAAATCTTAAAACAACAATTTTTACAAAATTAAATATTCAAACATGCACTGAGCAATTTGTTTTCAGAAGTTGATTGCTTACTTGAGAAGGTTTCTTATCATGCTTTTTCAAATGATTATATGTACAAATGTGCACTTTTACATCTTTATTTATTTAATGTATGTTTTTGAAGTAATTTGTTATAAGCATGCACACAAAAGTTCACTTAGAAGAAATTAATTAATTTAAATATATATGTAATATGCTACAAATAACTTTTTTTGAATTGTTTTTTTACAAATGTTTTATAAGAATGAATGTAAATTTGATACTAATTTAAATTGGGGAAATTTATGTATAATATCTTTTGCATACAATGATGAGTTTTTCACTTGGGACCACACTTGTCTTGAGAAATACATTCTACTTCTTTTCTTTATTGAATGATAAATAAAATAGAAACACACACACATACACAGTTACACACTTTTAAACCTCACTAAGATGATTCTTTCAAAAGTGATTATTGTTTCAATTCTCCTTATTGTTGCTTACACAATTACACACATACAAAAACAAAGCAAAAATAGAGACATTCCCACAAAACTTGGATCAAACATAGCAACCATCCATGGAAATGAATCGAGGTTGCATAACCAAAAATACATGACGTGTGACTCTCTAATTGATAGCCATGGCTTGAGCTATGTTTGCACAAAATTATATTTGGGGGATGATCCATCCCTCACTGCAATTCCATCCGGGTTGCTCACAAATATTACACTTGTTGGATACGAACGTGAGTGCTTTGGAAGGGGGTGTGCCCTAATACACAAAATATGTGATTTTGAATGTGCTTGTTGCTTGCCCTATATTGGCATAGACCCCCAATTTGTAGTTAAACTTTGGGCTCCAGACAGTCTAACTCAATTGTACACAGATAAACTAAATTGTACTTTGCCTCCATTTCATCCTACTCCCAAAGGAGTGTATCTATTTACTTGCAACTTCACAGGCTATGGTTTTGCCTCGGTGACCAAGCCTCTTCAATTTCAACTCATGGCAAAAAACTACTTGTATCCAAAATATTTTGAGGCTTTTATCACAGCAGGTCTTGAAATTTAACCCCCTGTTTTTTGTTTTGTTTTGTTTGTGCTTGTGTGTTTGGATGACAGTTTCAAACATGCTATCATATAACCAAAAGCATTCCATATGTTGTGGTGAACATAGTATTATATATATATATATATATATATATATATCTTAATTCTTTGTTGTTTTCAAAAATGTAAAGTTATATCATTAAAGTGATGCTTTATGCAAGTATATGTCATTTAGATGTTACATAAAACATAATTTTATATAACATTTTGTGTAATGTATAAAAATGTTTGTACATACCCTTCTCAAAACTTTGAATTCTATTATCTATGTAAAAGACACAATGTTATAGTTGATATTATTATTTCTTGGTATGTAATATGGAATACTTGTTAAAGAAATGAAGAGATGGTGTGTTTGTTTGTGTTTTTTTGTACATATATAAATATATTCCTATATATATATATATATATATATATATATACATACATTAATATTGTTGCAAATGTGGTAGGAGAACTTTCTCTCAATGATTGTATTTGGGAATGGGAAAGAGGGAGCTCATGGCAAGTGTCCGAGTACGGGGTCATAAAGATACTATTGTATGATGCTTATGGAAATAAAATTAGTGCAGCCACAGGTGGTATGGATCTAAGCCATACTCCCTTCATAGCCACCATTCTACGCTTCAATAATGCCACTAACATGCTCATTGCGGACTCTTCGGCAGTCGGCAAAATCACACACCAACTTGCATACGGACTCTTCATAGTCACAATTTACTGTACCAAAGTGGGAAGGTACTCTATTTCTGTCATGAACAACCAAACACAAACTGTGGTTGCAAACATGCCAACAACTTTCTTTGTAAAAGAAGGTAAGAAATACACATTATAGTTACACACACAAATATATTATTATTATTTTTTTTACATATGAGATAATAATAATAATAATAATAATATCAATAACTGATAATTTAAAACTTGCAAAAAAAAAAAATGAGGGGGTTGTTTTACAAACCCTAAAACTCCAAACCCTAAACTTGAGTTAATGAATTTAAAAGAATGTCAATTTACGTGGGGAATTGATGTGTGGGTCAGATGGTGAAGGAAATGGTGTTGAACCTCCGCCCACACCATCTTTGTTTTTTCTTGGTGATGTTTTAAATGTCGAAGCGGGCGACACAGACACCTCGTTTCTTCATTCCTATCGACCTGCAAATGCTCCAATTCTTTTTGCACCCTGCTTGGGTTTTGCTGTGCTTGTGCTGGTGGTTACAGTTTTACAATTTCATGAAACATATTTTCATTAATCATACACTATTGAAACTCTCAATGGGTAACATTTTCAATCACGTTGAAATAAGCTTTGGATTTTATTTACTTATTTATTTATCTTTCATACCTGTTTTTGGAAATGAATTAGTTGATGTGGTTCACTTACAATAGTTTAGTTATTTGATTTGGATATACATGCAAAAATGATGTGAATAGTGGGTATCTGAAGTGCATGATGAAGGTTACAAATTAGTCATCTTGTAATTAGAAGATAGTAGAAAAACAAATATGAATAAAATATGCACAAAAATGTAAGTTTTTTTCTAATGCTAAATTCAAAAACATAACCTAGAATGATACTATGTCATTACTGATGAACAATATTCTAATATGAATCTATTGTGAATTGATGATGCTTAAATTTAGTGTATGCATACTAAAAACTAAAGAGCAGAGGTTTTTATGGATGAAAATTTCAAACATGTTAATATGCAAAAACATGTACATATGTGCACCTAAATAATGGTTTGATTTTCTTATATATATATATATATATATATGAAGAATATTGAATATCACAGTCTTCATGCTAAAAGTCAAAGTAATACCTCACTCACAATTAATAGCAGCTTAAGAGAATGCTAGAGCACGCTAGAACAAGCTTAACAATAATCACCAATACGTATATATATACATCCTGTAAAATAAAGTAAAAGTATAATTAAAGATACATTGACTACATATAATAACTTTGATTTTCTAAGCACACTTTCTCGAAAGAATTTCAAAAATTAAAAATAACACCATACAGCCATCAAAGTTCACTTTGAAGCTAAGTATTGAACAAAAATAAGTAAGAAAAAAATTCAACCAATACTTAGAAAACTTGCTGCATGACCAAAATGCTCCTTCACAAGCTCCATCATGAGATGAGAACCCAAAGTTACTTTTTTATCTTTGCAAACCTCCGAAGCCATTCTGTCGACACCAAATTGTGCCGCAAAGCTAAAGTTTGCAAACCTACGGTCCTCAATTAGAAAATTCTGTTTCAGCAGAACCGACCTGTTGTGTCGGTAGAGTTCTCGGCAGCGCTGAGATGGGTCGGTATGGGCAGAGAGCATCATCACCTGGAGGGATGGGGGTACAGAGTCCTGAGAAGCGAAATACAAAAGAGGAAGGTCACTATCGACAGGAGGTTGAGGAAGACGCAGAAGAAGAAGACACCTCGGGAGTGTCGCCCTTGGAAAAACCCTAATTCGGCTCCGCTTGTCTTCTTCTCCCTCATCATCATCCCCGCCTGGCAAGCCCCGCACACGTACCCGATCGCCTTCGGCCGGGCTTGGAATGCGATTTCGCTCGCCATCGCCAGGTGCGATGATCCCGGAACAACCTGCGCCGGGCAATTCTCCTGTTTGTGCAGTTCGTCGCCGCGGGAGGTGTCCTCGATCACAGCTGATGAGTGCTTGGAGCGGGACAGACTTGGCGGGTCGGGTTTCGAGTCGTTGGGGTGAGTGAAGGCGGGGTCCTCCATACTCCCGTTCAGCTTCAGAGGCTTGCACCTGCTGCTGCCGCCGCTGCAGACGCTGTTCGCGGGGGAGGCAACCGTGGCCCGAGCTCCTTGGGTGCTGGCCCACTGCCACTGTTCTTGTTGTCGTTGTTGTTGTTGCCCTTGAGTTTGCAGCGTTTTTGTGCACTTGGATTTTCGGCGGCCGGGCTTGTGAACGATGCTTCCCGTACGATGGCGGTCTCCATGTGTGGCAATCTCACATGGAGCCTCTCCGTTCATGGTAGCTTATCTGCCATGTGAAAGATCAGAGCAAGTCGATCACACCAATTGTCACGTGGATTTTAC